AGCTTAGAGAGCTTTTAGTGGTTCATAAAATAAAACGTAATTACCAAGTTATGAAGACAAGTCAAGCGAAGCAGAAGATCCCGAAACAGGCCTGACACAGAGTTGGTTTTAGCATTGTTAGCAAAACATATTCAACACTAACGTTAGTAAAATTCAGCCTGAGCGAGTGGTGACACAGTTTACACCGATGTATGGTTTAAAGTTTAAAAAACATTGGTTGTAAGAACAAACAATATTTTGCAGCCCAACAAATGGTTGAGCTGATTTGAGATTTTATGTGGGATAAATTGATTGTGGTATTAATTATTTCTGCAAAAAGCGTTCGAGCAAAGCATGATAAGGGAGCACAGTAGGCAAGACACTCAAGCAAAATAGTTATTTTTAAGTTAATTTGATTACCTACCAAAACACAAACCTGTTTAGCCTTAATACATTAAGCAGGACACATTTAATAGAATCTCACCTAAACTATGAAATTAATTTATTGACTTAATGTAATGTTAATTCTCTAAGGCATTAAACAAAGAAGGAGGGCTCTGGAACTGGTAGGAGATGAAAGGTACGGTAATTAATCAAGTTTTAATTACGAAAAACCATAAGTGGCCTATCGTACTATCGATTCTTAATGTGACTGTTTTTTTTTTTTCATTTAGAAGGTTTGAGTACCGGTATGGTATTATAGATCTAAAGCTATAAGTTAGGGAACCTTTTTTACAAAGGTCACTTTCATGTTCTGTTGGCAGCTAAACCATAGTTAAAACATAGGGTACTCCTTAGTTTGTCATCCTTATAGAACAGCTGACGTCAATTTTATTGTTAGTTCTGTACGTCGCTCTGTAGGGGTCATGTTTTGTTTAGGCTACAATTAATTAGCGTCTTGTTATTTCAGTTATTTAACACGTTCACTGCTAATGACGCACTTGTGCGTCATAAGTATATTAGCAGATATATAATACATGATGTATATAATTACATAATATATTTTAATCCACAATTTATAGTATAAAATTTATTTAATTAAAGATATATTGTCACTCAATTAACATGATCATGTTAATGTTTATGTTTTTTAGCCATTTATAAAAGTATTACATATCATTAGCAGTGAATGTGTTAAAATCTTATTTTCACAGGCTGTTGTTGCTTGAACCTCTGTAACCAAATAAAACGATCCAATCATAAACAATACCGTAACTGTTCTCCTAGTTATATAACCAAATCGTAAAGAAAAAATTATGAAACTAAACCTAAAATAATAGAAACAAATTTCGTCTACACTAGCGATCAGAGTTGTCATACATGAAATAGACACGAAAAACAAGCTTCACAATTTACAATGGGATGAGAAGTCTACTTGTGCTGCTTTGTCTATGGCTAAACTTAGCGCACCCAGTCTAAAGCCTATTAACTCTGTCAAGCATGTATCAGACAGTTATTGTATTTTAGGCGTGTTACTATAGCCTTCAGTGGTTGACGTCTTAAACTACAGTGTTAGAGGGACGGGTTCGATTCCCAGCACAGCCATTTTCCTATGGATTATGGACCATGTAAAAAAAAGCGTTTGAGTTTTTAATTGTAGGTACCTCCTTGAAAAATAAGATAAAATAACTCACCTTTATGAGTTTTCATGTGAGTTCTAAGATTTCCTACAGTAGTGTATCTGCGTTCACATCCGTTGTATTCACACTGAAATTTCTTTACTTGTTTTTGCATAGTCATCGGATCAGTAGTTTCAACAGTAATGGTCGCATGTGACGGAAACTCTGGCATTGCCGAAGAATTTCCTACAGCTATACGCATTTCTATTTCATCTGAACTAATTTTGTGATGTATAAACCTACAACAATAAGTGTACTATTATAACAGGCCCACTATTGTAGTACTGGCATGAAACCTTAATCTAGACTATAACTTAGGTATTTAAAATAAATAATAAGTTACGGTAGGCATAATTTACTTTGGCCTAAAATTATAATTTGCAAAGGATACGCGTCTTGTAACCGGACGTGGAGTAGGTGTCCAGCAGTTACTGTCATATAACCTAACCTAACTAACCAAACTTGCAGATAATGAAAAAATCGAATGAAGGTTAAATTCTGTTCATAAAATAAAATTATAAATGCTAAAAATTCTAACAAAAGATGTACAGTTAAGAGGAATTGGCATTCAAAGCAAAATCTTTAACAAAAAGTTAAAGTTACCACCCATGGGATTTGAACCAGGGACCTCTTGCATATCAGCCGAACGGCCGAGCACTCTATCCACTACACCATGAACGCCGATGTCTGTACATCGTATCATTGTGGTAATGGCGTTCCGGGACCCCACAACCTGGTGATGTCACTGCTGGACGCCTAATTCCACGTCCGTTTACCGGACGCGTATCCTCTGTGATTATAATTAGCGATCACACAGGTTGCCTAGCTTGTATGAAAAAAAACAAAACACACAACACAACATTGTTTGTAAAACAGCCTGTTTGGTTGTCACTTTAGATGTCGGCCCTAACTTAAAACAAATTTTCAGAAGTAACTTAAACCCAAAATAAAATTATATCGATCACAATAATCAATAATAATTATATCGATCGGTAATTATATCGATCACAAACGGTACGATAAAATAATATTACTTCATAATTTTAAACCCATTAAATATAGGCTAAGATATTTAAGTTAAGCACAACTTACCCTGCCTCTTTGTTGTTATGGTCGATTCTAGCAATATATGTAGTTGTTGCTTGAGGTGTATTGTGGTTCAAAATGTTAGCAGTGTATATTGGACTCTGTTCAAAAGCTGTATCAAAGTTCGGTATTTCAAGGAATTCCATGTTACTAGAAAAATCTTGGAATTGTGGAAGATCTTCACCTAAACTGAACTCGTTATTTTGATCCATTTGTTTCTTTGTACGGTTCCTGTAACAAATGTTGAGATATTTAATTAATTACAACTCTAACAGATAATAAAACCAATTGAGGGTAAATCCCTGAACGAGACTAGGATAGTCTGAGCCTCTTGCTTTAGAACTATTTAGAAGGAAAAACATACAGTTTATTTATGGCCAATAGATGTTGCATTAAGTCAACATTGTAAAGAGCAGGGCCAAAACACATAATATTGAAACAATGAGTTACAGACCAACTAAAAAGAAATGTATTCTAACTAAACTTATGATGAATGAATAATTAATTATGGAGTAAAACATTTTGATAATGATACCTGAAGGTAATTCAATTGAACAAAATGGTGTGTGTACACTTCATAACACAAAACAGCTGTCTGTAGTCTGCACTGATTTCTGCTGAAAGTGAAAGATTCGAAAAGGGAAAACAAATTGCTTAAAAACATATGACTGAGACGACCCTACATCTGCATGGCTCAATGCCACAGGAAATAAGCTAAATTAATACCATCATTGATTATATATTCTGTATTCAAATTTTATAAATACTATACAATGGTTGATTATACTATATCAATAACATAAAAAGGTCTTAAAACATTCCTAAGGATCAAATCTGAAATTTCTTGAGCTAACACAATAATAATTTTGAATGGACTGAAATTACCGTAGTTAAATTTGAATAAGCCTTAGTTATTAAATAATTTAGTACTTTTAATACTTTTTAATAAAATGGCGACCATACAAAGTAGGTATTTTAAGCCAAGTATGAATGGAGATGAGTGTAGGATGAGTGGCTCGATCTGTTAGTCTTGTTAGTGACTAAGGCCGACATATTCCTTAGACACAGATGTTAATTAATATCATCCCATACAGCTAATGGCAGCTAAGGGACCTGCAGTTTATAATGGAATCCGAACCACATTTTTACCTAGTCAAAGCTATAACCAAAGATTACATATGCTGCATGTGTAATCTTTGCTATAACTAACGAATTGGTCTATCAGAATAGTATTGAGGGTAGTCGTAGTACTCATCACTAGTACCACAGAAAACGTACTACTATCTATAACCCAGAATGCCAACCGCATGGTAAAAAGCATTAAGCGGTTTGAGAGAGCTTTGCCTGTCAATCCGTAGGCAGCGCCACCAGCGTTGCCATGCAATAGCATAGCGACGCTGGTGGCGCTGCCTACGGATTGACAGGCAAAGCTCTCTCAAAACACCTAATGCTTTTTACCATGCGGTTGGCATTCTAGTACGTTTTCTGTGCTAGTACGGACGTTAAGCCACACCAGGGAGTATTGCATCCACAGTGCGTGCCTATAAATATCCACAATTCGTGACCTACTAGTAGGTGGATTACAAGACGTCGCTACCGTCCCAAACAAACAACAGGAGACGATAAAGAAGAGACGATAAAGAACAATGTTATACATGTTTATAAGGGTAGCATACAATAATTGCGAGTAAATATAACTCCTAGAACTAAATTATTTTAATTAAATCGGTCACAGTCCCAAGTTATTGAAAAACCGACGATCAAGCGATAAATAACTAAACCGAGCTATCAAAATACAAAGTGATTTGTTTACGAAGATTTTCGAGTAAATATCGGTTTGATATCAGCCATCCAAAAATGCTTGTAGGTACCGAATATATTTATTTACCTTTTTTGTAATATTTAAGGGATTCAGCAAGTTAGTGCTTTGTTCATTTCGATATAAAGCTAGAGGATTAGCAATGGTTTGAAAAAAATGATACTATATGACATACCCCTCTTTACCGTATTGGTTAGTCTATGTAATTCTGTGGAACTAATTAAAAATATTAATATTAATTATATTACAACATAATCCTCTTAATTAACTTAGTATTTAAAACTTTGAGCTAAATCCAAATTAACACTAATCCGAAGTCCCTCCTTCACTAGCATTTGACTTTTTATACATACAGATTTGGAACCAAGAAAAATAATTATTATTTCATTTCCCAAACCATCAGGTGGTCATTGGCAAAATCTTTATTCTCTCTTACTCTCTCTCTCTCCCTCCCACTGGCACTGCCAGTTAGCCAGTTCAGTTGGAGTTGAGTTGGTGTCAAAATGGCGGACGGTATCTTCAGGTTAGCATAAGTTCTCTCATTTCGTTAAACTAAAGTGATCCAAAGTGAAACTTTTGTTTGTGTAGTGAATCCTGTTTCGTGAATTAATAGTCTCCATTAAGTGAAATAGTGTTTTGTGTTGTTTGAGGCAATGAAAAGTGGCCCAGTTCCTTATTTCATTGTTTTGATGCCGCAAGAGAACCAACAAGACAAGTGTCATAACACTGACCACCTGTCACTTATTTTTGCTTGCTCAGCGTTAATCAAATACAATAGCACATTTTCAGATAAAATTGTATTAGTAGGATCTAGAATCCATTCCAAAATAAACGAATGCCTCCGTTATTAACGTCCATGGAACACGCCAAGACTGTTTATGTGAACACCAATGGCCGAGATGTCTACCATAGTCGTACTTCCCCCCAAAACACAATTAGTACATATCAGCAATCTAGCAATAACATTAAGCAAATTAGTAGTCCTCACCTTGTGCGTAGGAGTGAAAGTGCAAGTAGGAAAGTAACTTTATCACTTTGGACAGCACTCTATGATTATGATGCACAAGGAGAGGATGAACTTAGCCTCAGAAGAGGAGACATCGTTGAAGTCCTTTCTCAAGATTCCAATATATCCGGCGATGAAGGGTGGTGGACCGGAAAGGTTGGGGAGAAGGTGGGCATATTTCCTTCAAATTTTGTCACAGAGCAGAATATCATCGACCATGTTTCCAACGTGATAAGTGATATCCAGCCAATCGAAATTGACTTTAGTGAATTAGTTCTTGAAGAAGTAATTGGTGTAGGTGGTTTCGGTAAGGTTTATCGCGGTTATTGGAATAATCTAGAGGTTGCTGTGAAAGCAGCTCGACAAGATCCGGATGAAGACATTTCTGTGACGCTAGAAAATGTTAGGAAAGAAGCAAAACTTTTTTGGTTACTTAAGCATGAAAATATTGTTTCTCTGGAGGGAGTATGTTTACAAATGCCAAACATGTGCCTAGTGATGGAATATGCTCGTGGTGGATCTCTGAATAGAGTGTTAGCCGGACGTAAAATTAGACCAGATGTGCTTGTGGACTGGGCCATCCAAATTGCCAGAGGAATGAACTACCTCCACAATCAGGCACCAATTTCTCTAATTCATCGTGATTTGAAGTCTTCTAATGGTGAGTTCAGTAGGCTAAGCAAGTCACATTTTATTCTTAAAATGGTAGAAGAGTAGGCCTACCCTAATTGAATTTCTGTAGGTAGGTAGGACCTTTGAACCTAATGTAGCTTAAAAAGGTACCTAAATATAACTTATTGACTCAAGTCACACCTAACTGCTATGATGGATTGTCGATGGATAACTTAGGCTAGACCGATTTATAGACCTGGCATGTTGCAGTAGTCAAGTAGGGTGCCACCAAAAAAGAGAACGGGAATATTGTACCGACCACCTATTGGTGGTGAGGAGTGACTTTAAATTTCCTATCGTCCCTAGACTGCCCCACAAACCCCCTACCTAGATCAATCAAAGGCAAAACTTTAAACATTTTTCAATGTGTTTAAGATGGGTACATTTTTTACATTAATAACTATGAACTCTAGTTTCTTTTTCACTAAAATGTTGGTGAATGTGTTTTGTAAAATCTGTTGAAACCAATATTAACATAATGTAGAATGGACACTAGTAGGCCTAGATAGCCTATTAGTGTTAAATCTTTATAGGCCAAAACTTTGCAGTGTAAGATTGTAAAAAGTTTGAATTTTGCATGCTAATTCTGACGGGTCGCCGAAATTGTACCTCCCCTGCCGATCGACAATGTCATTTTCACGTTAAACACCTAGAGAGGGTACAAACCTACACCCTGTAGGGTACATTGATTTTGATGGAATTTAATATGATTAATGTAAGTTAGGCAAGTGATTAGTGAACGGGATGATTATAGGCCTACGGTACCTATTTGAAATTAAAAAAGAGCAGGAGATCTCCGGCCCGATTTTTACCCTCTGGATTTGTACCCCTGCCACTATCCAATTAGCCTACTTATGTACAGGGTAGAATTTTACCACCTTAAGTTCCTGGAAAACCTAATGTGTACGGCCCGAAATAGTACCCCCTCCTTCCAGTATGTAGGCTAGGTAACATCTTCAAAGTCGTCTTTTAATAAACTTATGTGGTAAGTACCTATCATTAAAATAAAATAGTAGCAAATAACTTACTGACCTCTTATAAGTTAGGTTTATTGGTTTTAATTTCTTGATTAAGCCAATTATTTTCACGGACATGTGATGTAACCAAATATTAGGTCTATCTTAGGCTATCGGCTAGTTTATGTTTAAAATTTAAGCTGATTTGGGAAAAATGTATTTTGCAATCCTTTAGGCTAATGGATATTAATGTCTTAGGTCCAAATAAACTTTGAATTAATTTGAATTTTAATCTGAAACCACAGTATATTTCGCTTTAAAAGATGATTTGTAAAACCAATGAACATATGGTGATTTTAATACCGTACTGATATGGTTATGTTTATTTATTTTACATTAGATACTTTATTGCCGAATGAGGATAACAAGTTTCTTAAAAAGTCCTATAGCTTTACATAGTAATTTTATACTAGGTAGGCTACCTTTAGTGCCAACGTTCCTTTGTAAAATGACTCAGAGAGGCAGAGTATATTTAAGCTTGATTTCTTACTTTGCCTGGTTTATTTTAGGCAATGTATAAGTTAGAATATACCGGTTATCATTCTATAGAATTCCTGATTAATAGGCCAACTTACTTTGCCTGTAACATGTTAATCAACCTCCCAAAGTTTCATGGTGATTGGATGGACGATATAGTAACGCACAAACCGAACAGAACCAAAGACTAAATTAAATGTTTTGGAGAAAATGAAAAAAACTACAAACTTAGGCCTAACTTTTATCTTAAAACATTTAAGATTCCCGAGACCAATCGATAGAGGTTTGAATTTCACACACTACCTACTGTGTTTCAGAACAGCTTTGATTTAAGTATTTTAATTAGGCCATTCTCAAGATTGTCACTTACCTATGTGTGACTTAAGCTTTTTATTTTCTTTTTAAAGGCTTTCACTGTAGGCCTAGGCCTACTTTAGTTTCTTATGCCCGACGTGCAAAAAATAATCTCAATTACTGGCAGACTAACGTAACAGTAGGCCTACTATCTGTTGCCAAACAAACAAAGAGAATTGACTGACAAAACCGGCAAAACTTTGATTAATTGAGGCACATTGTGCAAACTTCTACTTAGCTTATAGGCCTACATGTAATCTTTGACTTGTTCGCTGAGTTAAGTAGGCCTAAATTGAGGTTTAAGAGTATTACTGATCCAAACGGTGATTAACATTGTCATTTATGGAGATTTCAAGGTGATTATAAAAAATTAGAGATTACCAAGATTGGAGTAGGCCTAATTAAGTAACTTAGGTAAACTGTATCACAATCCTATAACTGGTAATAACAAATGTTGTAATTAACAGAGGTATTGGTAGCCAGCCTATTTGTTATTTATTTACCTTTTTTTTTATTTAATTACCGGTACCTAAAGGAATAGAAACATTTTTCTATTCCTTTGTAAACTCTTTAGTTCTTAAAAGTATGCCTACTGAAGAGTCTTAATTTTAAAACAATATCCTCAGGCCAGGGCCATATTTAAAATCTAAGAGGTCCCTGGTAGCTCACACCATTGACTATACACCTCTACAGTAGAGGTGTATAGTCAATGCTCACACCACCCTTGTCAGCGTCCTGTCAGCTCTCTGGTAGTCCTGGGTTTCTCTATTCTGATTTTTCATTTGCTGGAGATTAGGGGGTTATTGCTTCAACTCAATGAACTCAAACCCTTTGTTTTTGACAAACCAGTTTCTAAAGACCTAGGATAGTATTGAATAAATGATTAGGCTACATTTTATTTTTTAATGATACCTAATAATATTATTAATTAGGGGTCTGTGGGCTAGAGTTTTTTACTTCCTTTAAAAATGTTGACCTTTGGGTCTCCAATTAAAATCAGGTTGGCAGAATATCAGGCTCCTTTGGAAGGTATTGATTATAGGCTACTATAATCTGTCCAAACGACTTCTGAAATCACCACTTAAAACACAAAAGGAAAATAAGTTAAAACCAAACAAAATCGTCCAAGGTATCGACAAAATCGTGAGCGTCTCCTGCGATCCCAGTGAAATTGAGGTAATCTTTTCCGATCATGGAGGAATTAAGAATGCCTCCTTCGTTTATGGCAAAACAGTACTTTGGTGATCGGGGAGACCTTTTTTACGTCTCATGCAATCTCCACCATATGGACAACTTCCATGATCGCCGAGGTATCCTCAACGTTTCCTGTGCTTAGGGGGAAATTGTGAACATTGTTAGCAGTCGCAAACACTTCATTATTGTCCCCTGCGGTCATGCAAAATTGTTATTTTTGATTGCCCAACTTACCCAGAAGCTTTCCGTCTAATTGCGAGAAAAAAATTCCACTTAAATCAGTTATTTCATATTTCAAGAGGAAAAATTCCTGTGAGTCCACCTCCCATGCGAGGCTACCAGCAACTGCCTCTTGCAGGATTGTTGTATCTTCTTGTAGAAATAGTTTTATAATGATTTTTAATGCACTAAATCAATCACAAATTCCAATTACTTTGAACATTCTGTACATACAAAGTAGTTAAAAATCTAAATTAAATCTCAACGCTATAAAATCTATCAAAGACCTGGTATTATAACCTGGTAGTAATAATTCAACATATTTTATTTAAGACTAATTAGGCCTATTAGTCTATTATAGAAGCTCATTTTACAGTTTCAACTCTTAAAATGTAAACTGTTGCTATAGATACTGAAGTAAGCCTGTAAAATTTTTAAAAGTTTCCATTTTGATTCTTAAATTAATTGTTAAAACCATTACCAACGATTAAATCATGTTGAGTAAAGACACACTGGCGAATGAAATTGTTAAGATCATCGGAATATTAGGCAATAGGGATGGATCTACTATGAGAGACGTGTCGAACGTGTTGGAGAGTTTGCACGGACCTTTGGACCGAGAGTTGGTCCAGGACAGTTTGAGGGAGGCTGTGACGTCTGGACGAATCAGTTGCTTCAACCGTCGGTACACGATCAATATGCTAAGCACTCTGTACGACTCACCAATGCCTGGGTGTTCCAACTGGTCCGATCACAGACTGTTGAGATTGAGGGAGTTAAGAGACAATGAACATAGTGTTTCTTCACTTTCAACTGAGGTCAATCAAACCTTGTATGAAGATTCTAGTTGTCCTAGTGAATGCTGCAGTGTGGAGGAACTCCTCAGTGCGAGAAGCATTTTAAGCTCTGATCAACTATCTAGTTGCTCACAATACTGTGATTCATGTACCGGTAGTGAAGAGTCTGTTAGTGATTCAGAACAAAAAGAGATCAAGAAACAACCCAAGAAGCGTCTTGTGGTTAAATGGCCAACAAAGAAAAATGTTGCAGGCAACACAAAAGACAATTTAGATGGACAACAGGAATTAGAATCAACTGTTAAGGATAGACATAGAAATCTACCTGCTAAAAGATCTGTGAATGATATGATAAGCGAAGTAATGAAAAGGTTCTTGAAGAACACGGATGACTGTCACAACGAACAGGAAAATAATGCATCACAAAATAACAACTGTGATTTGATTGTTGATGAATCATTGAACGAAGATATGACTAAAGTCATGATGAGATTTGGTGGAAATACAGATACTAGAGATGTCGCGAGCGATGAAATGTCCTCGAGTCCTGATGGTACATTGAATATCACATCTGCAAACAGAAGTGTCCAAGCAGGATCTGAAAATCCTCGTAGCTCAAAGAGTGTCACTCCTAAACCAGCTAAAAGGAAGAGGAAAGCTAAACAAGATGAGAACACTAGTGGTGGTGTAAGTAACACGGAAACTTCACCAAGTCAGTCTGGAGGTGGTACTAAAGAGGCGAGGTCCGAAATGCAGTCAAACAGTGATTCAGAGGTTCCAATACTCAAAAAATCAAAACCGTCTTAAAAAGTTAAAATTGGTAGCGCAGATTGCAAAATATGCGATGTATTTTTGGTAAATTATAACAAATTTGATCAAATCAGTTTTGCATAGGATTATTTAACTTTTGACTATAATTTTTTCGATTAGTT